TTACAGTAAGTGGTTAAAAGATAAGAGGTAGGTATTAGTCTGTTTTATGTTACCATATGACATATATGAAAGAAAAAAAATTATTTTATCTAAAGATTCTGCAAATGCAAGGTCAATGGGCTGTATGTGTTGATGGCTTTCTTACTKAGAGGTCCAAAGTCATTCCAGGGCATCACAACCCTAGGGCATGACCAGAGACAAGGAGTGAAAAAGAAACATGGAGTGTGAGGAGCATGTGTGTGTGTTCTGGTTCCTCTTCTTATTAATCTCCCATGATGCAATTTGGAACTTCCACCCTAATGAACTTAATTACTGATAATCACCTCCCAAAGACCCAACCTATAGACACTATGGTCAGATCAAGTATCTTTTTGGTACCTCACAATGAGTACTAAATATCAGYATGACTTTTAAGGGAGAAAAAAAATATTCAAATGATAGCAGAGTGACTTAAGAAAATAAAGTTTTTTTCTCCACAGAGGTTTACAGTAATCCTTAGGGAAGTGTAAATGGTTATAAATATTAAAGGTAGATGTTTTTCCTTAATAAAAAGAGAAGAGATTCAAATTTGTTGTCCTAGCATTAGTATTCTGATAGAAGCAAACAAGGTAGTATGTTATCAATAGCATATCACCATCAGCTCTTGGGAAAAGCACACACATTTTATCTATGTGTCAAAGAAAAATGGAATATTGAAAGTAAGAGAACTTGGAAAGAAGTTTTTTTTTAAAAAAAAATATCATCTCAAACCTGTTAATAGATCATGAAGCCATTTGTAAAATATAAATAAATAAATAAATAAATAAATATTTCTAAAAAATTAAAGCATTATCATTAGACTAAATAATTGTTTTGTAACAGAAAATACATAAAGTTTTGCTGAAATTAAAATATTGAATTTCTGTGGAATTTCAATTAGAATGTCTTAAACACTGAATATGATTGTAAAAGGGCCAATAGGATAAAATGTAAAACCACATGATTCTCCCCTTTTGATATTTTATGAATTACCTTCTTCATCATCTAGAGACATTCAATTAAGTAAAAAAATCAGGATGAATATCAGAGTTTCTTCTACAGTATTAAGCAAAAGTTTTAAAGTAATTCACAATTTTATTTTATAATAAATAAATAAATACACATATACCGGGGATGTTTGCCCTCTTTTAAAAGTTGCTGATAATTGAAATACAGATTAATTATCATAATGCTAAAATGACTAAGTAGGGCTTTTAAAAATGTGAATAGAAATGTAGGTTAAGAAAAAGACAAATTACAATGGAAAATAAAAGATGGGTCAAAGAGTTAGTACTTTAAGTAAATACATGAAACTCTCTGGTTGGAACTAGAAATTGGATAGAAGATATAAAAAGGATGAAATATATCACTTGTTACAGTGTTGATAGAACTAGAGATACTCATGTAAAGTCAAATAAGCCAGGCATAGAAAGACAAGTACTACATGGTCTAATTCATATGTGGAATAACAAAAAGTCTATCTTAGGTTGAGAATAGAATAGGGGGTTTCCAGAGACAGAGGAGAGTGGAGGGGAGGGAGAAATCCAACTGTGCTATTGCATAGCAGGACGACTATACAYAATGATAATGTAAGTATATTTTTAAAAGATATAAGGAAGTATTTTGAATGTTTTCACCATAAAGAAATGATAAATGTTCAAGGAGATAGCTATGTTTAACCTAATTTAAAATTACTGTACACATTTAAAACATTACATGATACCCCATAAACATGTGCATTTTTATGTTTTTATSTATCAGTTAAAAATTCAATTTTGAAAAGGAAAGGATAATGTCTCATAATAGGACAATAATGATAACTGAAGCATTGTCTCATTTAATTCTAATGACTCAATTGTCTTGTCCCCTAGACAATACTGCTTTCATTTTACATGCGAAGAAATAGAAGTTTAGAGAGTATAGGTAAACAAGATTGCCAGGAAAATGATCTTTGTTACAAAAATAAAATCCCATGTATAGGTGTTTTTCTTAAAAGAAAAATCAATTAGATAAATTATGATTTTTAATTATTCTATAAAAATAGGAATATACAAAATGTAGTACTCAGCAAATAATTAATGTTAAACTATCTTAAGAAAATAATGTGATGATTACTAAATAAGATTAAACTRTAATAAAACTAAAAGAAAAATCAAAGATGTAAGTGTTAAATGATCTGTTGTGATTATTTAGGTACCATTAATAGAGTTTTAGTCAAAGACTTTTCTGAAATGTCTAGAGGTAACTACTCTGTATATGTATAATCCTAAGAATCACTTTAGATTAAAAATTCTATGTCCTCTTTTAGTGCCATGTTTTTTTTTATTATTTAGTATGAAATAAAAGATCACCATTTTTGTAAAGCCATAATGAATTAAATTTTATTAATTATTAGTTTCCATCACATTCCACCATCCTTATACAAAGTACATGTATGAAGACTTGAATTGGGTGTCAACATACCTTATATACAAACAGAGATATGAAAAATTGTGGTATATATATGTATTAAGAATTGTAATGCAAAAAAATGTGCATGTATAATGGCATAAATTGGTGTGAACATACTTTATATACAGAGATATGAAAAATTGTGCTCTATATGTATAATAAGAATTGTAATGCATTGCACAGTTTTTGTGTATTTTAAAAAATAATAATAAAATCAATAAAAATGTGATCTATTTTTAAAAATTATTAGTTTCCACATAAGACCATGCAAGCATTATTTTTAATTAAAAGACAATTAGAGTAATCATAATTGGACTTTGAAAATACACTTAAATCTGATTTTTTATTAGTGAAGTCTTTCTCTCCTCAATGACTTAGTTACTCAATTGATAAATCCCAAAGCATTCCTTTTAAAATCTTACTAGAATACTTACATCCTCTTTCCCCTGTAACACTTGTTTAATTATACCAAAGACTTTATTTAAATACAACCCCAGAGAAAAAATTTTAAAAGTGGCTTCCTAGCAGAGGTGAGATCTAACTAAAGGTCATATGAAATTATACAGTAAGCCTAGGGGAAACTGCAAAGTGGTGGMTGAAGACAGAAGAATTGTCCTTGGGGAAATGGTCCTCTTTAGATCTTTGAATGTGCTGAGTATGTCATACTAGTTAAACTCACATGCACTTTCTTCATGAAATAATTTTTGAAATTAGCTGCAAATCAACTAATGTCTTTGTCATTTTCATTATCAAATTTCAATTTTAATGCTTCTCAAGATTCATTAGACAATGTATTTATCCTATTATGAGCTTATGAAAATATTCTAAAGATGTTAATTTTTATTAAAATTTTGATACTTCTACTGAAATCTAGAGTAAGGAAAAATATAAAAGAGAAAGACACTATAAGTTCAATCCTCCAGCATTTTTTTTAGAATGCCACACTAGATATCTTCACCTGAATTATGTTAAGTTTTCCTGTCATTGGTATCTATCTACAAACTTAAGCCTATTTTGAATTTTCTCAGTAGCCTGTTGCTTGTCAGGGAATGCAATACTAATCGTCCCTCCCTTAACCCTGAACTTTAGAATTGTCATTAGTTTAACTGCTGAATTGTAGACCATCCAAGCAACACCTATGCCAGGTTGAATTGTCCAGAAGCTTTAATCTACTCTTAAATCCAGGCTCTGAGATCAAATCTCAATTTAATACCTTCTCATTTTTTAAARTAAAATGATTGATCTTGCTCTCAATGATGAGTAAAACTGTTTTCTTAGTAAAACTGAAGAAACTATAAATTCCTTCTTTCTGAAAAAACCTGTAGATGCTGCCCTGGACTTTTCTGTTATATAAGCCAACACATTCACCATTACTACCTTTCATGAGAATTAAAGCAGTTTGAACTAGGATTTTTGTCTCCTATACATAGGAAAGAATCAACACATATTGAATTGTAAAAATACTTCATGGCTCAATTTCTTTAAGGATACTCCTTTTGTAGAAAGATATATTTTCTTAAAAAATAAGGTCTAATGCAAAATGTTCATATAATGCAGAATTATGTATCAAACAAGAATGTGACCTACAGTACTGGTGTATGACACAGACTGAATTGAATAAAGTTTTGATGTTTGTTTGGTTTTAGTATGACATTTCTGTAACATATTACATTAAAAGTTTTGTAGTTATTAGAAGAGAGACAGGCAAGTGAAGAAAGGGAATCAGGAAGAGGGAAAAAGGGGAGATACTAGGGAATTAAAATAATCAAATTATATTATATGCATATATAAATATGACACAATAAAACCCCAATAATAATTGTATTTAATTTATTACTTAATCATGAATCCAAACAGAGTAATAGAATATTAGATTTTAGGAAGACCATGTAGATACATGATCCTATACTATTTTCAATGCAGGTGAGATATTATAGCAGCACATAACATGACATCATATGATATAATGTTTCTGAAAATTTTTCACCTTCATTTAGGACATCTAAGTAAGCCAGATATGGTATTTGTTTAAAAGAAACAATTATTTTTGAAAAGTTATGATTATTTGAGAGTGACTTCATAATTGAACCATATATATGTATATGTATATATATATATATATATATATATATATATAACCCATCCACTTTCACAGAGAAAATTCAAGTTTTCCTTCATGTGATTCCATTTTGCTTCTACTTTTGTAATGAAATATTTTTACTTTATTTAGTTCCCAGTGGGTTCAAATACATACTCTTTTGCTCAAGATACTTTCTCTCTACTCCATGCCAAGAGGCACCAATCTCAACAATGATCATAACTTATGACTATCAAAATGGATCAAAACCTAAACTAATATATTTTGTGTAATTATTTATTTGGTTTAATTGTTATTTCATCTATTACTATGACTTGCATATGTAGTATATGCTGAGAAGCTCATATGTTTAAAATATATCCAATGTAGCAATACTCAGAGGTGAAATGATTAGCCTATGAGGGATGAAACCTCATCAGTGGATCAACCTATTTGATGGATTAATAATTTCAATGGACTACATATAGTAATTGTATGAAGGTGGGGGATGGCTGAAGGAATTAGGTCACTGGGAACATGCCCTTTAGTATTGAGTATATTTTGGCTCTGGCTCCTTRTTCTCACTCTCTGCTTCCTGACTAACATGAAGTGTATTGTTTTTCTCCACTACTCACTTACACTATTGTGGTTTGCCTCACTTCAGGCTCAGAGAAATCAAGTCAGCAGGTGGGCTAAAACTCTAACACTGTGATCTTAAAATCAACTTTTTTTCTTTTCTGAGTTGTTCTTTTCAGGTATATTGGTCACAGCTATAAAAATCAGACTAACACACCTATTCAACATCAAATTCCCCTGTCAGGCACAGTTCTTATATTAGGCTACAGCCAAAGACACAGCTCTTTATTTCCAGACGTATATGGTTAACTTTGGAAGGATTCAATTCCTGTTTGAGCATCTGCAACAAAATTACAAAACACAAAACACATATCTAAAAATACTGGTTGCTTTACTGTATAGAATTATATGGGAATGGACATAATACTTCAGGTTTCATAAACTTTATAAAAATATTATTTAAAACTTTCATGTTCCCTTATGTTATTGACTTATATTTTGAGGGTAAGTTAAGCAACTATTAACCAATCTAAAACATTTCCAGGCATTAGAATGTTTGGGAATTATGTCTTTTTTACTAAGTTATAGCTAATTTATCTTGGTGTATAGTATTAAAAAAAAAAAAAAAAAACAGAATTAGCCACCAAATAAACAGCTTCCCAGCTCTCCATTATAAGATCCAGAATAGAAGATTTTTGGTGTTAATATGTTTGCCTTGGTTATATTTGGCTATTTAAGATAAAATAACAAAAGTTCTTTTGAAATTATGACTCATCACATGGGTCTTCAGGATTCTACATTACTAGTAAGAAAACAAAAAGGTAGAGTTGCATCTCAGATCATAGTTATGGTAGAATGAATTAAATACCTACCATTGTTTCTCCAGCCCATACACAGTATAAACATTGTTTATAGTATCCCCTTGATTGCGGGTGGAGGGTAGAAGCATAACAATATTAACAACCACCTCTCTTCCCCAAAACAACATATATTAAGGTTTTATACTACATGGCTATTATTCTCAAAATACCAATAATGGAAGAAGAAACTGATATATCAATAGTTAACAAATGTATCTTACTTGATAAGACAATTTTCCGAAGATCAAAACTTTCTTCTGTCTAGGTACTGCTACAGAGGAAATCTGGTTTTGGTTTATGGTTGTGAGAGCAAACTAAAGAAAGCAAGAGAAAAACACCTGGAGTGAACACTTGGCAGAATCTTCCTCCTCTTTTMATTTTGARTGTCAAAATGACTAATTTGAGACAGGATTGTAAGTAATATGTATGGTTCTCCATTCCTTGCTTTTATGTTTCCTCTTTTTAATGTAGATATGARAAAGATTGACTTTTATAGTAGGAACTGATTTAATGGCCATTAGCTCCTTGATCATGCTTAGCTCTCCTTCTAGTTAAGAAGAACTAAGATGCATACTTGGCATACATATTTCACTATCTATAGTGACTACTATGTTTTATGAACACATGAAGGTGCTTTTAGTGTGTCTGTATGGAGCCTGCTTGTTTTCCCTAATATAGACTGTGGCTGATGTTWTCAGTAACAGATTTAAAATACACCAAATAAATTGTTGTATATAAAAACGTTTTCATACACTGTATGAATCGCTATGCAAAATTAATACCTAATTTGTATAAATCTTTCTTAGATCTGAGTGCTAATTATTAGTGCTATAAATGTATTTGCATGCTAGAGAGGGCTGAGTCCCATGAAAAATCACTGTGTGGCCTATTTGTTTACCAAGAATGAAAGTTCACATCCAGCATGGAAATAACAGGAGAATAATTGTTGAAGTGCAGAATTAAATCAGACTATGAATATGAGTAATCAGACTATAAAAAAAGGGAAATCTGACCTATTGTAGTTAATCTCTTCTTATTATTCAGTATTTTAGTTGATTTTGTCTTTTATCCGTTAGTTGTAATGTTTATTATATATAGGAGACAAAGGACAAAATAATAGATATGAACATAGTGTATGTTGTAGGCAGTTTGTGAAGTTTGTACTTAACAAATGCTGTTTACRATTAACTACATCTCTGTGCTGCTACTTGGCTGGAAATATGATTCTAAATGTAGTCAGATGGCAAGCACAGACAACTCAAGATCAACATTCCACATCCAGTTAATGTGGTAGAATCACATCCAAATTACTATCAGAGAAATGTACACAAATATATCAAATGACCTGGAGAGATTAGCTGCACCAATTCAGGTTGTTTCTTCATTGCCTGAGAAATATTCCATAATCATTGTGAAAAAGTATTAAATATAAGGTGTTAGCCATCAAAAACATCTTCATCATTATCATGTGCTCCCTCTTACAGGCACAGTCTTCCCTGCTAACAAATAATATTTTATCCAACTAACATTATGTAGATGCCRGGGTCATTAGACCCTAAGGACAATAATGCATAAATGAAGTTGAACAATTAAAGAGAATTTTGGAAATTAGAAGTGGAGAGAAGAATCAAATAAAGATAGTATCTGATAATCTCTCCTTAATACCTAGACTTTATTTGTAAGATGAAGTTTAGGGATCATCCAGAATTATTTTATGTATAAGTGCCAAAATCTCGTTTGACCAATTGTCAGTTTGTTTTGTGTTTGTTTTATGTATCTGACAGACTAAGCCATAATTTTTTTTCTGTCATTTAAATACTTTCATAAAGTGGCTCTAAATTGAAGAGTGCTTGCCTTGTTGAATTTTTTGCACACTCCTACAAAATGACACCATAGTGACAGTCTGGCCATAAATATACTCTTGAATAAATCTGAGAATATGTGTATTCAATACTATTCCAGGTTTTACAAACAGGCAGTAAGCACTTAAACTGCAACCAGTCCTTATATTAATATTTCCAGCACACCCACTGACTAAATAACATCAACATTTACTTCCACATCATTCCTTCAAGTAGAGTTACTAGATAATATGCTGCACTTCCTTTGCAATGTACCATCATCTAAATATGAGAATTATTAAGATAAACTAAAATATGGAAGTTGCTGAATATTCCTCAAATATTATATTGTAGTTACTATCCAATACCCTTAAGCATATAGCAAAATATGTTTGAGAACTAGCAAAAATAGTCCTGAGGAATTGTACAGTTGATAAATCCTAATCAAAGTGTGCATTAAATCAAAATTTCCTTTCAAGGTATTTACTTCTGCAATGTGGTAAAACAGGTGGTACATTCACACACAGAAATGTACATACAACAAATAAAGAAATCTTTGATTTAATATCTGTCATTGTTAGTCAAATTTTGGTGATCATATGCTATTTTATACATTAAAATGGCCACTTAAAAGTTTGTGGGTTGGGCTGGGAGTGTAGCTCCATTGTACAATGTTTGCCTATCATATGTGCTAGGCTCTGGATTCAATCCCTAGCACCACAAATACAAAGATATTGGGGGTGGTAAATTCCCCTAATTCTGAATTTTTAAATTTAATAATTTTTAAATTAATATTTTTATTAATAATTTTTTAAATTAATAATGTATCAACTTAATATTTGCATTTTAGAATACAAAATCCTAGGTTAAGGATAAGATCAGTTTAGGGAGTTGTTATATAAAATTATGAAATTCAAGTTCCCAAAGAGCTTAGTCGATGAATTTCTCTATATGAATTTAAGAATTAGCTTCTGAAGATATGTAAATTAACTCCATTGTCACCTTCCTCAGCTTCTRGCAAAGCACCCATCAGCAAGTGTAGCTCTGTGAGTGCAAAATCTTATTGACAAGACTTTTATTTAAAAAGTAAGCTGTCCTTCTGGAATAATAGGTTTTCTGTGCAGATWGTAGTGCAAAGAACATGCTGATATGATCTCCAGAAAGGGAAGCAAATCTTTTTCTGGACCTGAATGTACCCAGGTTTTCATCCCACATTGCTCTTATGATCTCTAGAAGAAAGTCATTTTCCAGCTTTGAAGTCTCATGGGGTCTGTGTGTGCACTTGAGTTCTGGCTGCTCTTCCCCTCTCTAGGACTCAGRCCTAGTCCACAAAAAGCTGGATCTTTACTCAATTTCTCTACTAGGCTCATCACTATCACCACATACCCACACCATCAGTAACTGTCAGTTGGACTCTTCACCCAAACCCTCATTTTTCCACTTCTGGTGTTGTTCAAATTAGACCTGGAGTTTCCTAATCATGTAATTTGTGTATGCTTTGCATTTTTCTTTACTTTTTGTGTAAACAGTACTATTTTTATGCATGCGTTCTATGTTTTTACTATCCTGAGAGAACATCTCTGGAGAAGATTGTGAATAATAATTTGTTTATTCTTTGGAGTGAGAGATGGGCAGTTTAGCTTTTAATTTTGGAGCTTGTATTTAAATTGTAAAGCTTAAACATACAATCTTTTATTGAAATAATACTTTGAGCAACTTGGCAAAGACCCTTTTATTCTTCCTGAAGTAGTTTCTGCTTTTGTTAAATTAAAGAATTAGTTGATTTTCTTATTCTATGCCTTTTTGAGAGAAACATAATTGTTAAATATTTTTTAAATTAAATATTCAATATTTTCTCAAAGTTTCCTTGTAGCTCTTCTTTCCTTTTTTCCTTTAAGGGTACACATGTCAAAGTAAAAGTTACATTTTAAAATACATGAGCTCCTGAACCTAATGATAAAGTTGACTGAATTATTATAAAATTATAAACTATATTCCATATCATAAAATTGAGATGGGACTATATTATTAGTGCTCAACAATCTACCTTTTGGAGTTCAGTTGCCCAAGCTCAGTTTAAATCAACATTCACACTAAATATTAAGAATTTAATAGTGCACATAAAAGTGAAAGCTAAATTATTCACATATGCCACTTTTTCTTTAGCATAATAACACAGATGTTTCTAATTAAAAACTTGAGAGATTTTTAGTTTGCTTGTCTTATTTGAAATAATAAAAAGGAATAAGACTGTCACATTATTTGTAAATCCACAGTATTCCATGGTAGAGTTATAATTTGTTTCTCTGTGGGAGACATGCATTTTAATATTGATTTTTAATATAATCACCATCCATTGAATCTTTGAATGTAAAAAGTAATTGGTTTCAGCATACACACCTTACATTTAAGGAAGAAGTGTTAGATAGTTAGCTTAATACCTCTTCAGTGTTAGGCTTTGGCAAGACTAACTGTATCATTAGTTCTGGTAGCATTTGCACTAGTACATCCAGAGAGACTTTTCAGTGCACCCTGAAATAACCTCTGAATCTCTGGCTTTGAATAAGTCTGGACTCAGGAGAAGCACTCATGTAGCCATGTACTCATCTGCCAAGTGATCCGTGTTTTGCAGAAGGATGCAGAATCGATTGTAGTGTTCTAAAGCAACATGATATAAGCAATTTTAAGTGACACTTGACCTGAATAATAATCTTTATGGTTCTTCAAATCGCACAGCAGCAACTCATGTTATAAGTTTATCCATCTTTCTTCTTCCTTTAAAAAATTCTCCTCTGTGGAATTGATTGACTTTGACAACTGAAATATTTTCAACTTTATAAGCATAAGCACTATCTTTTGGTGAATGTTATGATCTCTAGCAAGGTGAGGAGAGAAAAAATATATCTGAAAATTGCTATCCTTCTTTTTCTCCTGAAACCATATTCTTTATCTGACATAGTAAGAAGTCTAAGTCGGATATGACAACAAATCCTGATAAACTGAAAAGACTGCAGAGATTTGGAATAACTTGTTGTGGTACTGACTCTAGCATTGTTACCAGTAGATTGTTAAGATTTACAAAGTAAGCTGTTTTTTACAGTCAAATTTCCCCAAAAACCAAAAGTTACTGCCATAAATCTGAGCTTCTAATTATAAGAAAATAAGTAAACATTAATGAATGCTTTTTTTATTCTACTAAAAGGAAAGATACTTGGAATTTCAATTGTTCTGAGCAGCTTTATACAAGGAACAAGAAAGATTTCCAACTGGCATGTCCAATTTTAGACAACAATCCTCCCTTTGTATCTTCCCAAACCACAGTGAAGATGGGGACCAGAGAACAGGAACTTCAAAACTTTTCCTATCTATATCTATGTCTATATCTATATCTATCTATATACATACATATACATACAAGGCTTATTTTAATATATAACATGTATTCCTTTCTTCAGTATTAAATAATCAAGCTCAAAAAAAGTTTAAGCAATAAAAATGATTATATCACCAAATAGTAAAATATTTTAATGGAGCAGAACAACAATAATACACTTTTCACCTCATGTTTCAGATCTTGGCCAGACAGTAGACTGACTGAGTAAAAGAGATCCATCCTCATTAATGTGGGCAGATACATCTAGTCCATTTATGGAACCAGAATAAAACATAAAAGGAAGGGTAGATTTGTTCTCTTTTCTTGAGACATTTATCAACTCCAGGCCTTGGATATCAGTCCTCCTAATTCTTGGGCCTTTCAGCTCTGGAGCTTACAACAGATGTTTCCTTCCTTCTTTTCTCCATCATTCATCTTTGAACTGGGAGTTACACTGTCATTTCTCCTGCTTCTCAGAAATTTGGGCTAAGACTGAATTATGCCACTGACTTTCCTACTTCTCCGACTGGCAGAGAGCATATAGTAGGACTTTTCAACCTTCATGTTCTCATTGCCAAACTCCAAAAACCTCCTCTTACGTGTGTATATATATATATATATATATATATATATATATATATATATATCCCATTGATTCTATTTCTGTGGAAAAACCTGATTAATAGAGTTGGTGAATTTATAATCAAGAAATATGTTTGAAACAGGTCCAGAGTTCAATTCAGATAAGACAAAAGATACTAATCCTGAAATCCAATAAAATCTACTAGAAAAAATGAAAATGAAACAGTAGTTAGTCATTATACTCTATCATAGCTAACCTTTAAGAATACTGCCAATCTTATTTAATAGTTTTTACTACAAAGTAAAGATATTTGGTAAGTACCCAGTATTATAGCCAGATTTAGAACCAGTGTCTTCTACCAAAATGAGCCATCAAATTTAAGACCTTCAGCTTTTATTTCAGAGTCAGTCTGTCTGTCTCTCCCCCCCCCCTCTCTCTCTCTCTCTCTCTCTCTATATATATATATATATATATATATATTAATGTTTTTACTACAGATTTTGGGGGCATTAATTGTAGTCTGTAGTCATGGTCTAATATATTTCTGATACCTGTTGTGATAAAGAACTATTACCACAGAACTTAGAAATAAACAAACAAACAACAAAAAAGYAGATATTATCAAATTAATTAAAAAATACAGTTTAATAAGTTTGAAAAATAAACATTATGTTTTAAATGTTGATCAATAAATTGTAAATGAAAAAATGTATCACCAAAACCACACTGGTAAAATTGAGAGTTAATAAAAGCTTTGCATATTTAAGTTACTATTAAGCAAAAACACTCATGTGAAGAGGCAGCATCCAAAGAAAGACTAGAGAGTAACAGATGGAAGGAATGGATACATACATTCCCTGTTGTAAAAGGAACATATTTAGTAAGCAGAGATGAAAGAGAGAGATGAGATGGAGAAAATAATCAAGGTAAACATAGGTGCATACAACCCTGAAGCAGAGGACAAAGAAATCATCTAATGTGTTGCAGGCTACATTGGGTATTTTTTTTAATTCACACAAGAGCAATGTTGAGCCTAGGAGAATTTTTAAAAGATTGCTATAAATCAATTAGTTAACATTTTGAGTAATCAGCAATAAATGTAGTATGCATGAGTCTATTTTTTATTACTATGGTAAAATACCTGAAGCAAGCTAACTTATAAACAATAAAGTTCTGTTTCACTCACTGTTTTGGAGTTCAGAATTTTAAACAGCACTGCAACACCTCTACTGAGAGTCTCTATTGGTTGTGTCGCTTCATGGAGGATAGTGTAATGGCAGAAACGGATGTGAGAGAAAAAGATCATATCTAAAACCGGAAGCGGAAGAATGACTAATGAGTCAGGTTTATTCTTAGGACAACTTGTTCTTGTGAGAGCTCAGAGAATCCATAAAACTTCCCTTAATCTCTCTCAAAGGACCTGACACTAAGCCTTCCCTCCTAAAGATTCCTTCATTGCCCATGTCACTGTCCTGGGGACCAGGAAATTAACACATGAAAATTTGCAGGATATACTCAAACCATATCCAAACCATATCACAGGGAGCTATAATCCAGCTAGAAAGTAATGGTAGTTTAAAAAAATAAACAAAAATTCAGTATTGATTGAGGAAAAAAAGGAATAAATTCAAAATGTGTTTAAATGGTAAAATTGAAATTTCTTGGTCATATGTTAATTGGGTAAGATATGGCATGTATAATTGATGATTCCTATAGTTCTGACATTCACCACCAAGCAGATGGTAGTCCTATTTGTTCCACAAAAGTATATAGAGACAAATGTTAACTTTTGAATGAAGTTTTTTTTTTTTGGACACATATAGAGACATGTCAAATAATTAGTTGCATAAACTGAAATATTACTCAAGAACAAGTYCTGAACTAGAGATAATAGGTTTGGAACTCAATGGATTATAAAAGGTAAATGAGTTCATTTCTGATGAAGAGATTTATAGATAAAGAGTGAGAAGAGAGCATTTTTAGAACTGAACTTTAAGGTATTTTATCATTTGATTATTAGTAAAGGAGAAAACATCTGTATGAGAGAGACATAGAGACCAGAGGAGGAGTTGAGAGACAAATATATTTTTGTCCTGATTAAGTAATTTAAAATACATGAAATATTTTAAACAATGTGTAACATATAATATTATCTACATAGATGTTAGCTACTACTATTATAAAGAGGGGAGAGGAAAGTATAAACATACTTATTAACTTTACGGATGTGATAATTTTCTGGAAAATATTCTGGGAATATTAGTTTTGAAGCAGTAATGGTGAAAAAGAGGAAGTTAACCCATTTTTACCACAATGAGGTATATGATGTATGAGAAAATGAACACTTTTCACTCTAAAGGCCTGGAAGTAATGTGTTCAGCCTCTAAGAATTTGATGTGAATATAAAGGTGTCTGGTAACAATTATAAGGACATAGTACAATATTTGAGAAGGGCAGAAAGGAATGGAGAGCTGGGAAGTACAGATCACTGTTGGTGGGGAAGTGCATTGAAAGTCAGGCTTTCTGCTTCTGAAATGGATTGCTCAATAACAATAAAAATAGCATAATGTATTTAATCTAAATTTCTTTCTTTGAGGAGGTGAAAGGTTAATAATCTTGAGAACTGTTTGCTAATCTTGTTCCCAGAATGTGCTGTCCCMAACTGCCAAACTGCAGAATGTACTCCCTTACCCGCTCGCCCGCAAACCGCCCACTCGCCCTGACCGGTCAATGAACTTCCCTCCCTGCCCTCTCCAAGGAAAGTATATAAGCTCTGCTTAAGCTGTACTCGGGGCTCTTTGTTTTATTCAAGTGAGCTCTGAGCCCTAGCATGCTGGACCCCCAATAAACCCCTTGCTGTTGCATGAGACAATCTCTTGGTGGTCTCTTCCTCCGACGCTCGCCTGACCTTTACTGACGGAGGCATGGGTTTAACCAACAGAGCATTTGGCATACTACACCTGGGTGTCTGGCACAGCAGTATCTTCAATCTTAGCCCATTGATGTGGAGTGACATTGTGACATCACAAGAGGCTTCTATATTTGCATTATGGTGGCTTCCACATTTGGTGATTGCAGTGACTGTGGACTGTACTAGAGAGAAAAATTGTACATAGTGTTTATGTGATCATGTATAACTCATTCAAATGAGACACAAATTTAGGTTGAGGATAAGGAACAATCTTTGAAAACAATGAGAATTTAGATTTGTCCTTTTTTTAAATTATCCTATTCACACTTCTCTTATACTTTTGCTTTCTGGTATTTATTTTTTTAAATTACATTATATTTTTTCCAGTAGGCAGATTAAAGGAAAGATAAATAAAATAGTATATGTTCACCTATTTCTCTTCATTTATTAAACACATAAAATTGTTTTAAAGGAGTAAGGAATAGTATTAGTTTGTTCTAGATAGCTTTTATAAAAGATTTATTCATTTTAATAATTAATTGTGACACCAGTTGTGAATGATAGCAAAAAAGGGAAAAGAATTACGATAGTACAATTTGTCTACAAAAGTAGTGATTTTTTTTATATTCCTCCATTTCACTTTTACTTTTATAAAGCCTATGCAACACATGAATAATATCCTCTTGAAAGTCTTTAATATTTCTCAAATGGTCAGATCTGCTGCTATACTGCTAATAACACTAACATTTGGATTATCTTGCTAACGTATATCCTGGGCCCCATTCTTTTTCTCTGATAATTAAAAACCCATTGGGTTGGCTCCAATAATAATTTATTTCCATATGAACTCTTCAAGAAGATAAAGGCCAATCCTTGGGCGTATCTATTGCCATGATGTACTTTCTTTATCTTCTACAGAAAAAAAAA